CTTGTGCAAATACTCGTGGCCAATGTAGCCAGGTGGCAAGATTTTGCGCAAAAGCCACCGCTTTTGTGTAAAATCATGCCAGTCTAGATGTAGCCCTTAGGAACAGGGATAACACCTGGGCTGAGGTCCTAAGTGAAGGGATTTCTAGCCAGGTGACATGCTGCTTGATTGTAATCTTGTCTAGAACTGAGATGGCAATTTGCTTCTTTTCTGAGGTAACCACGTTTGATCTGTATGCTACTACCTGTAATCAATTAAACCCCACCTTTGCTTACTTAATAAATCAGCTCTTTGTGTTACCTAAACCACTGTCTCATTAGAAATGCCAAAGGGATTTATTAGTCAAGTGCAGGGGCTGGTGCTTTCTCCTCTCCACATTGAGGGAGGGGCTACCTAGTTAACAAACTGACGTTGGTCAGGTTTCTGACAAGGACAACATGGTAAAGCTTTTGGGGTCCTAAGCTGGAGTGGTGGGGGGACTGCCTGGAGCTGCTCCATTTTGGGTTCCTGGGTGGCTAGTCAAAACATTCATCTAACTTCAGCTGGGTGTGTCCCTGCCTGTGTACAGTTGTGCAAGTGCATGATTTAGTGTATGTGTACACTACAGAGTTTTGTTGGGAAAATGGAGATTTTTCCAAAAAATTTCAATTACGTCCACATTGAAATCGCGTTCCACGAGGAGTAATGGTAGAGATCCTAATTCGAACTACCTACTCTGTGCTGCATGTAGCCACGGGCACGGAGTTTGGATTAAGGGAGTTTTAAAAATGGCGGTGCCCGGCAAGATGCAAATGAAGCCCGGGATATTTAAATCCCGGGCTTCATTTGCCACTTCGAATGCCTACATTAGCCACCCTAGTTCGAACTAGGGGGCTAGTGTAGATATACCTTAGAGAGGGAGCCCAGGTTTGTATGTGAAGATGCTGGGTACCACCACAGATCCAGGTTACACCTGGACGAGTCCTTCACATAACCCCTCCCCAGTGAAAAGTCCCTACTGACCCATGAGTCCATTACCTCTTGTTATGGACTCAGTTACTTACTGTTGGAAATAAGCCAGGACACTCTGGATGCAGGTGAAAACAAGCGGAGGATTTATTATACACCAGCTGATGGAGTGACACGCAGGGGTTACCCTGGTGAACACTGGTTAATTAACACAATACAATAGGTTATATAGTTAGCAGGTGGACGGAGGAAAAATGATTTGATAGGTCTAGCAGCAAGACTAAATGAGCACATAAGCTAATAGAACTACTAAAGATTACATAATATCTCCGCCCATGGTAAAGTAACAACTCACTAATTAATATACAGGTGGTTATTGTTCAAATGCCAAAACATGTCAGCAAAACAGTAATAACATTTTAGTCTGCATAGATGATGATATTTCTACAGCAGGCGGGTATGGCCTTGAGTTGGTGCAGCGCTTGGTTCTCAGGCTTATTATCTAGGAGTGAAGCAAGACAGTTTAAGCAAATTTTATTAATGTTATCTTAAGCAAAATGTGTTATGTTACCAACTGGGACCCTGTCTGAGTGTTTTAGAACGTGGTTGCTATGGTGCCCAGGGTCTTTTACTGCCTGCAGCTCTTATCCTGACTGTGGTGTTCCCAGGCTTGATCCCAGGATGGAGTCATGCTGTTTAGAGGCCTACTAGCACATTTAGGGCTGCCTCAGTTTACCCTACACTTACAGAGAGATCATGATCACAGCAAGGAAGTCTGGATTCATGGATTCATTTTTTCTACAACCTTGGCAATGTCATGTGTCCCTGTGCCTCACTTTACCTATGACGGAGATATGGTCACAGGAACTTTCCTTTGCTAGGCGTTTTGAAGATCCTCCATTGCAAGGTGCTCTTCCTACTGAAGAGAGGTGCTGATGAGAAATCCCAATCTCTCATCCCCTAGTGACCACCCCATGTATCTGCAGAAAGTGCGCATGTCTCCCCTCAGGCATCTTTCTTCTGGTCTCTCTGTCAACTGCCTACACAGCCAGGTAGGGCATTTACAAGTGATCAGACCCCGTGGAGTGTTAGGCATCACCCCTTGTTTTCTTACTAATCGACTATAACTTTTAAATATACACAGAGCAGCCAATTTCTCTCCGGCTCAGCTCGGAGCCCAGGAGTGCTCGGCTCCCTTTGGGAAGTTCCCTTAATTACTGTTTACACCAAGGCTGGATAAAGAGCATGAAGCACAGACAGCTTGGGTGGAGCATGTTCATAGTCAGATGCCTCTTCCTCTGCTACAGATTGAATGAACCCCCTTGGGACTGCACAGAGCTATATTATAAATGGTTCATGCTCCTGACTCGTCTCTCCATGTGGGACACTGAGGCAGAGGCTGGGCCGAGAGAGGCACGGGACGCGGCTGCCTGAGGAGGATTCCCAAGGAAGACCCGTCCCTCTCAGGATTCACAGGTACCTTTGTCTTGCTGCTCGTGAATCATAGCGCAATGTGGAAAGGAGAGTTAGACAATAGGTCTTTTGTCCTTTTCATTCTGCACAGCCGGGAAACATCCCACCAGGAGTGACTTTGTTCCAGTCACATCATAGACCAAAATGTCCTTCTATGCATTGTTCCCCCCAATGGACTCCAGCCCTGAGGTGGCCACATTTAAGTGGCACAGTGGATCCTTCAGGAGGAAAGGTGTTAGTAGACCAAATTCTGAAGCCCTGGTCTATATTTTATTCATGACCCACTGAGGCAAAAGTTTCCCTGAACTAAGAACTGAGGAAGGACCTCAGGAGCCAGCAGTGTGTTAATGCACAGAGACTGTGACCTCATTCTCTTTCATTCCTAATTAAGGTGGAGGGGCTGTTACCTCCCTTTTATCTGCTGGAACGCACACGAGCGCTAGGGCTTCTCTTTCCATAAGAAATCTTCTTTCCAAGCTTCAGTCGAGAAGTCGGCTGAACTGTTATGCCTGCTAACTGGGGCTGTGTCCAGACTCAGGGGTTTTTTTGGGAAAAGTAGCCTTTTTCCGAAAAAACTTCCCCTGCATCCAGACTCAAGCCGCGTTCTTTCGAAATTAATTCGAAAGAACGCGGCTTTTCTTTCGATGGCGGTAAACCTCAATTTACGAGGAAGAACGCCTTCTTTCGAAAGTGCTTCTTTCGAAAGAAGGCGTTCTTCAATGTAAATAGGGCTTCTTCAAAAGAGAGCATCCAGACTCACTGGATGCTTTCTTTCGAAAAAGCAAGCTGCTTTTTCGAAATTTCTCCGTGCAGTCTAGACGCTCTCTTTCGAAAGAGGCTTGCAGTCTAGACATAGCCTGGGAGATTTCAGTCCAAAAGGTTAACATTTTGCAGACTTTCGGGCAACTGAAAATGAGATCTCATGATTGAAAGTGTCAGACAGCCTTAACTAATGGTACCACATACAGTGGCAAATTCACTAGTGAATCCCAGTTAGCAAAGTTCCTTGCTCCAAAAATGTTTGTGGCAAGGAGTTCCACTGACCCAATAAATGCTGTGTAAACTATTTGCTTTTCTCAATGTTGTCTGTTCAGACGTCCAGTGTAATTGAATATTCGTCTGTGTGTTAGGAGACAGTAAATAGTCACATAATATCTACTCGCTTTATTCATAGATTCATAGAGTTTCTGACCTGAAGTGACCATTAGATTATACTATCTGAATTCCTGCATAGCACAGGCCATGACAGGCCAATACCTCTGTCTTGAGCCCAAAAAGGTATGTGACTAAGGCCTGGTCTACACTGCTGTTTAACATCACCGAATCCTAAAGCCACAGGGTTAGAAAGGATGGAAGGTCCATCTAGTCTAACCCCCTGCAGGACTCGTTGCATCTGCACCCTCCCAGACAGATGACTCTCCAACCACTCTTGGAAAACCTCCAGGGTTTAGCTTCCTAAAACTCCCAAGTCGTGTGTTCCATCGCCCTCTCTGCACAATCAGCCAGTTTCGCCTGAGATTTACTCTTCTTCTGCTGTGCTGTAGATTGAA